TGGAAGGGGGGCCCTGGCTTGCTCTGCCTCTGTCCCCAGCAGCAGGGCCCAGGCCCCTTAAGCACCCCCCTGCAACTCCCCCTTCTCCTCACATACCCCCCCAGAACTCCCCTGCTCCCCGCCCCCTGACCATGGCGCTATAGCCGTGCTGCCGGGCTGGAGCTGCAGCCGCACTGCCCAGGCGCTGGGGGAACTGTGACTACGAGGGAGGGGCCAGAGGCCAGCCTCCGCCCGGCACCTGGGGAGTTGGGCTGGCTCCTCCGCAAGCCTATCTTGACCCCGCTCCCTGGCAGAAACTCGGGGGCCAGAGGGAACGGTCCTGCGGGCGAGATGTGGCCCGCAGGCCGTAGTTTGCTCCCCTCTGCTGTAGAGACAGTTCCCATAAAAATCATGGTTTGACAAAACTATCAGCAGAAACCTGTCTCAAATTCCAAACAAGTTTCCTTGAATAAATTTTGACTTTTAAGGACCAAAGTACCTGTTTTAAATGGCATGTTTACAATCTATTGTCTGGCACATGGAGCTAAACACGTTTTTATGTAGTACCTTTTCTAATGTATCTTACCAGTACGTTTTAAGTGGAACCAAATATCCTTGAGAGTCCACACCATGTGCTTCAACTGCAGCAAAAAGGAGAAGATCTTGTTGTATTTATTCATGCAGCTCTCAGTAATGACAATGTTCAGAGGCCAATCAACCTAAAAGTATATACAATATATATATAAAACCAAGTGTCATTAACGTTACCTGTCCATGTCATATTTGATCATTTCAGAATATTTCACAGCCCTTACAGTCACAGGTACTACAGGCTGCTGAAACATAATTGAATGAATTTATAAATGGCATCATAGAATGACCAGGATGAGCAAACCCTATGAATTCATTTAGATTAGCCTAATTTCTTGACTCTTTTCCTCTGGGAGGTAGTAAATCATCAATTACTATACATCAAAGAAACATGGATGCTCAAATGATTATAGTATAAGAGCAAAGTATAACTTTCATATAATCTTTTCTACATGCTTTCTTACCTTGTACCGTAGCTCCAAGCAGTTCAGAGCATCAGGAGCATTGGGTTTGAACATTTCTGGAAGGTACTTGAGTGCAAAAGAAAGATTGGAAGCAAGCTGGGTGTCTCCGTGAAGGCTATACTGTAATGCTTTATTTAAGATAGAATTGAGAACCAGTGGATTCAGAAGTTCACCAGGAGTTTGCCCTGAACCAAGCTTGAGAAAAAGAAATCTTAATTCATTACACTCATAATTTTTAGAGACAGACAAGTCATGTTCTTGCTTTAAGGTAAATTTTTCAAAAGCCCCTAAGTGACCTAGGAGCCTAAGTCCCATTTTCAAAAGTGGCTTAGGCACAAGTGTTTTATTCATTTTTGAAAATGGGACTTGACTGCTTTTGAAATGTTTACCCATAGTCTTTTGGCTCAGTACCATGATGATCAACAGCAGAACAACCTAATTAGCAAATTAATGTGACAGAATCAAAATTAATACTGTGAAATAAACCTCTCAATTTTCACCTTTAGAACTTTAAAACAACTTTAATGTGTTTTCTGACACATGTTTACTAATGAAATTAATTTATTTGTTGAAAATCCAAATGAGAACTTGCTAATTCACTTTTCAAAATACAAATATAAAGCCTTAACTGCTGTTATGGAAAATCTAAATAAAAGTACATAGCAAATTTAGAATTGCAGGTGTCAGGTCTCAAAATGAATAAAGAACAAAACAAAAAAAATCATGTCATTCTAAACATTTCATTTATGTTATTCTGATCCCCCTGCAACTATTAAAATGACAATACTGAGCATAAGACTCAGGTGCAAAACGTTTAAGCACAAGTAGCCCCACTGACTTCAGCAGAACTTCTCACATATGCTCAAAGTTAAGCATGTGCTAAAGTGCTTTTCTGATCGTGACCAAAATACTCTCAGCTTCTAGAGAGTTGGTGTGCCCATGCATGTCCTGATAACCAGACATAAGCCCAGACCATCCTTCCTGTGACCTTACTCAGGTGGACCTCATCCATGGACACAGAAATGAGGCATACAAATGCCACCTCTGCAGAAGATTCCAACATTCCCCTCCCTAATTCTCCTTCAACAGTGCACTGTAGGATTTTTTAAGTGGGAATGTAGACCAACTTTTCATAGCATGGGCCCCTGCAGGGTGATGGAGGGGAGTGGTGGGACTCAACCAGTGGCAACAGTATCCTCCCAGCAGGGGCCAGAGCAATAGCGCAGTCTAGCCTTTCACAGGACTGGAGGTTCTCTTCCCTGAAGAGCTCCAATTTCTGCTGAGTTTAGAGGTCATACCGCTAGCCTCTTCTGCAGTCTGCCAAATCCCATCACCCCATTCCTCAGGGAGAATATCAGCAAAATATATTGCTCTTACAGAGTTTCTTGGGCCTCATGTATCCCTGAGAGAGGGTGCATTTTGGCTCACAGTCATTAAGGCCTCAGCAGGGCCTCTTTGCTACAGAATTTGCTACCGTGGCACAAGGGGGTACAAAATGGACAAGGGGAAAAATAGCAGATAGGATTTTAACCCACACCTCTCTACCATCCTTACTCATATTGGGTTTTTTTAGCTACCTATGTCAACACTGGGAACGGTCCTTAATATCACTTTATGAGATATTAGAGGTTCACAAACATCACGCCTATTGCAAATGACCAAATACCAGAGTTATAAACAAGCCAGCACAAATACCTTCTCGAATAGTAGGTCACTAAGCGATTGAGCAAACTCTCCATCTTCCATTAACAAAAAATGCCGTAGTGCTTCAAAATTCTTCTCTATGTTCAGTTCCACAAAGTAGTAATCGACTATTGCTTTGTTCACAAGGGAAACACTAATAAAAACATGAACTGACAATCACTCTTAAGAACAATTCTTTCCTTACTATTAAAATGCAGTCATGGATATTACTATCAAATTAACATTTCAATATTTAGCATAATGTACAAGCTTGCATGACATTCACATGCACTAAAGAAAATGGGAGAAACCTTATATACAGATAGTATCCAGGATGAACCAGAACTAAAACCTACCACTACTGAGAACTATAGCTTGATTGGAATTGCCAGCATATCTGAAGATTGGTTGTATATAAAGGGCTTTAGTGACACTACATGGACCATAGGAAAAATATTAGCAGTAATCTCTCTTTATGAAGCTTTCATCTGGTGGGATCCAGACTGGTTAAGCAAAAGTGTCATGTCTGTATCTTTGGAGAGGTGTATACTTCACCCAGGCAATACAGGCACCTTTGATGCTAGTCACTGACAGAGAAGGCGAGAGGGCAAGAGATTCAAGTCTTGAATCCTGGAACTCTGGGGATAGTCCCGAGACCGGGGAGACCAAAGGCAGGGGCGGGAGGAAATTATCCTATAGCCTATACTTACTAAACTAGATATAAAAACTATTCACAACAAATTTAGTTTACAGGTTATACACTGAAGGACACAATTCCAACCAAAGCCATGCAGCGTTAAGAAGGAACTGGAGCGGCATCAACCTGCGCCGCCTATTATACCCTTGGTCGGGAACATGAGGGAAGCCAATATGCACGTGAGAGTCAATGGACACTCCTTTGAAGAACTTCCAGACTCAGGCACACGGCATGCATGTGTACGCATGTGTGGAATAGCACTCGAAGTAGTAAGTAGTTTTTCGTGCAGCTCTGTCTCAAGGGAAAATGCCCAGTGAAGAAAAAATAACTGAGTTAATAAAAGTGGATTTGTTTTTCCTAATTAATACTTACTGAGACACTAGTGGAGCAGTAATAGAGTGTTTCATCAGCACTGGCAGAGATAAAAGCTCACTAAGTTGTACAGCTGTTTCATCTGTTGCTGACTGTACCAAAGGATCCACTGGGAAAGTGTATGACCTGGGTATCACATGATGCAAGAGATGGGAAACTGGCAACTCTGCTAAATTGAAGAATACATATAAAAATTGTAAGCTGTTATACTTAAGCTATTTCAATTAATCTCCTGAAAGTCATTCTAGATTAGAAAAATCAAAACACGCTACAGTAGACTTCAGATTTTTATGCAAAGAAAAATAGTTTTGCTACTGTACTTAATAATTTTGACGATAAAAATCATATAAGAACTTTTCCTTATGCTAAAAGCCTGATTTCTCACTCAAGACCATTACATCATCTTGCTGAACTAAGATTTCAAGAGTTCTACTCACACATTAAATCATAGCTGTCTTGGTATTTTTCAAGGCAATACTGGTCTGATAAGGCTTTCAGATAAGCTTGTTCTTTCTTCCACGTATCATCATCATCTTCCTTCTCTTTAGTCTCAGAAGCACAAGCCTCAGAAAGTAAAGTTTCTTGAGGTGTAACAGTCAGTGCAATCGATTTTTCAGGTTCCTCTTTCTAAGAGAATGCAGACAATAACTAACACCTCCTCTCAGAGACGATCATCTCATAAATCCCATGCACAAATGATGTGTTCCTTACCTGTGAACCCTGAGGAAGCTCTAGAGGGAGATCCTTGCAGACATCTTTTGCAATTACTGTAATAACACAAATTGAAACAGTATCAGAAAGAAAAAGAAAAAAAACAACCCATGAACATACAAAATACAGCTGACTGCCTATAGTCACTGGATCATATCTCAGACCTGATCATAATTCCAAAAGAATGCAAAATCTGTAACAAAACCACCATTACAATGCACTTGAAAAACAGGGAACTTTAGGTTCACATGCTTGTATATATTACACAGTGACACTATTAGCATTAATATATTTAAAGTATTGTCAGAACATTTTTCAATTTCAGAGTGCAAGGTAGCTATTTAAAAACACACTAGAATTATAACGGGTCTGCAAAGTTTCAAATCAGTGGAAAATTTTAACAAATATTTCACCCTTTTCATGCAGGAGACTAGACTAGATGCAAATTCTCACCTAAAAATTCTAATAGTGTTTAGCCATATACTCAATGAATTAACTCATAAGTATCCAGATAGAACAAACACACCTGATGGTAATTTTTATAAGGTCCTAAAAAACTACTGACCAACTGAATACAGTTTGATTGTCTTATTCTAACCTTCTTGTTTCTCTCTCTCTTCTGTGATGTTTTCTTGCTTTTCACCTTCAATATTAGAATCTGAAAGGACTGGAACACTGTCTGAGGACTGTGATTGGGGTAAGATCTCTTCCTTGCCTTCTGATGATTTATTGTCTCTTTTACTTTCATCAGTGGGAGAAAATTCTCCATTGTACAGACATGTCTGAACTGTAGAGTCTGATGAGTGACCAGAGATAGTTTTATTATGAGGTATCGGATCAGTTTCTGTGGATGGAGACCACTCTCCTATTTTAATGTTTGACTGAGATGCATGGCCAAAAGGGCTCCAACGAGGTTTTGAAAGCTCAGTATCTGAAACTAGGTCTCCCATTTTAATGTGTGATTGTGAAACATGTCCATGGATATTCCACCGAGGTCTAGATAGTACAGCCTCAGACACATTTTCCCCAATCTTGATATTGGCATCAGATGCATGGCCATGGATGCTCCACCGAGGTCTAGACGGTACAGGTTCCGACACATTTTCCCCAATCTTCATATTGGCATCAGATGCATGACCATGGATGTTCCACCGAGGCCTTGTAGGCTCTATGTTTGACACGTACTCGCCAATCTTAATATTAGCTTCCGAGGCATGTCCATGAATATTCCATCTAGGCCTTGAGGGCTCTACCTCTGACGTATATTCCCCAATTTTAATATGAGCTGTAGAAACATGCCCGTGAATATTCCAGCGAGGCCGACTAGATTCAACTTCAGAGGTATATTCCCCAATTTTTATGTGCGAATCTGAAGAATGTCCATATGGATTTGAATGTGACTGGGAAGTCTCTGCATGAGGCACATATTCCCCTACATTAATGCTGGCATTGGATACATGTCCATGAATATTCCACTGAAGTCTCCTACTCTCCACAAACACATTTTCTCCAACTCTGCCATGTCCTTGTGAAACAGCAGCTGGCCTGAGAATTGTATTAAAATCATATTCACTTTGCTGATGTAACTGTGTATTGTCTTCTCCTTGCAGTGCTCCTATCAAAAGAGGCTGACTTTCACTTATTTGAGTAGTTTCAGGAAGTTCTGAGCTAATATTTTGAAATGCTTCATCTAGTAAAGATCCTTCATCTAGTAAAGAGCCAACGACAGCAGGTTGTTCTTCCTGTGATTCTGGTAGGAAATCCTCAATATTTAGACTGGATTCAGGAAGAGCATTAGCACTCTGTGATGGATCCCATGTTTGTTCTGTACTTAGTAGCTGGAATTCAGTCCCTGCTGCAGCTGGCTCAGAATGTTGATTAATGTGAGTATTTACTGACTGGGGCGAAGCCAATGGTTTATCAGCAGAAGTAATACTCTTCAGTCCAGATTCAGAATCACCTCTGACAACATTATTGTCAGAATGCACAGGTTCCACAGTAGATACCTAAAATATAAATAATTATTGCATTCTTCAGCCATTTACATACAGTTGGTATGTATTTTAAACTATTTTTCCAGATCAAGATTTTATTTCCAGTCCCCCCTTTTATTGTCAGCACCACAATATTTTATTGTCAGCACTATAATACTCATTCACATTTCTGCCATGGTGACTCTTCTATTTAGTGATCACAGATTTACAAAATTCACATTAGAAAACTTGGAATTGTCATGCAATGCTTCTGTCAGAAAATAAACCAACCTGAGAGCTCGGTTCTTCTACAACAGCATCCATAATTGAGACAGTTTGGCACTGCTTATGCGGAATAATGTCTAATTTCCTCCTGTACTTCCCATCAGGAAGTTTTTCAAGCATCTCCTAAAAATCAAAATAGCAAAACCAAAAAGCTTTTAATGTATCAAATGTTAAAATGCTACAAATGATATTTCTTATAAAAATGTAGAAGATACCTCAATGTATTTTTGATCTTCTAATAGAAAGTTGAGACGGGCTGTTTCCAGTTTGTGCCGCTGGATTTTCCATAAAGCTCTTTGCTCCCTACGGGCTGCATCATCAGAAAGTTTGCTATAATGGTCAATTAATTCTTGCCTGAAGGATAGCAAAGATACTATATTACAGACACTCCACCTACATATTTTTCATCTTGCACTCTGTATATTGAGACCATATGCTGGTGTAGAAGAGCAAGAAAATGATAGATCTCTCAGACTATATATTTTTAAAATTAAAAACCAGAGGTTTCATACACAGTACAGAATCCAGTTGAGAAAATGTAATGAAAATAGGATGGTATTTTTTGTCAATAAGTTTTTATAGAACCATGTTAGTAGGACACTAATTTTTCATAACAAATGTGCTTAAATGTATAATAGAAAACAAAGAAATTACCATTAGCTGTATATATTGATGAGTAATGTCAAAGCTTGTAATAGCTATAATTACTATGCAGAACTTACATCAATTATAATTAAGTCTACGTTTTAGTCACAGGTATTTTTAGTAAAAGTCACGGACAGGTCACAGGCAGTAAACAAAAATTCACAGCCAGTGACCTGCCCATGACTTGTACTATATACCCTTGACTAAAACTTGGGTGGCCCAGGATCCCCGCTGGTGCTGGGGGGGAGAGCGGAGGGGGACGCACAAGTGGTAGCCTGCGGCCCAGAACTCCCGCTGGTGCTGGGGTGGGGGGGTTGGAGGGCCTGGAAGGCTCCCTACCTGGCTCTGCACAGCTCCCCGGAAGCATCCAGCATGTCCCTGCAGCTCCTAGGGGGAGGGAAGGCCAGGGGGCCTCCGTGCACTGCCCCACCATGAGCTCCGGCTCTGCAGCTCCCATTGGCCAGGAACTGCAGCCAGTGAGAACTATGGAGGCGGTGCCTGAAAGCTGGCCCCTCTGCCTAGGAGCTGAAGGGACATGCCAGCTGCTTCTGAGGAGCCCCTGTCCTCCTCCCCCGAGGTAAGCGCTGCCCTCTACCCCAACCCCCTGATCCAAGCCCTGAGCCCCCTCCCACACGCAAACTGCTGCTGCTGCTGGCCCAAGTGTTCGGGCAACCCCTGAGCCAGCCGCACCAGCTGCTGCAAAAGTCACGGAGGTCATGGAAAGTCATGGAACCATGACTTCAGTGACCTCTGTGACAGACATGCATTCTTAATTATAACCAATTTTAACACTGAAAAGAGTGTTCCTTTCCTGCTCATTACTGTTTAAGTCTACCTGATAAATAAAAACAATTAAAAATAGAACACCACACCCATGGCACTGTCCTCATCAATTTAATTTTTAATCACATAAATATATTGTATTTGTCCTTTTGATGGTTAATGGGAGCAGTAATGACTCCTGGCTATGGTATGTCCTGGAGTGATCATCTAATCTTATCTCCTATATATCACAGCCCCTTAAACCAATTACTCTGTATTGAGCCCTGTACCTTGTGTTTGGCTAACACATATCTTCCACAAAGGCATCCAGTTTTGAGCTGAAGATATCAAGAGACGGAGAATCCACCACTTCCAGCTGGAGATTTTGAAGGTACGTGTTGAAGCCCAAGGCTCTACCCCTGCTAATGACTAACTACCAAGAAATACCTGATCTGCATGTGAGTCCCAATTATATATCAAACTAAAAGGAACTGACTGAGATATACATTTCACTTTACATACTCAGACACCATCAACGTGTGCCCTTGGATTAAAATGCAGCCCTTAATCTCTGACAGCTATTCAAAACATAATCCAAATAGCATTCACCAATGTATAAACTGTGGCTCTGACCATGCAATCAGACCCACTTGGGTGGACCTTAGGCCCAAGTAGAGCCCCACTGAAGTAAGTTCGGGGTCCATGTAGACTCAGAGGGAAGTATTGTAACCCACATTTAACATTAGCAGTAAAACAAAAAAAAAAGTCTATGTTAATTCCCATGTACTGGTTTTTAATCTGCTCTGACATCCGATTCTTTTGCTGCGGGGGCAGCTTTTGATCACAAATTTTGTTGTTACAGTTTTTCTAAAGCCAAGATTATGATAAAAACCAAACTGGATGTCATTGGTGTAGACTGTCTGTTCTCTAGAGCATTGCTAGGATTCCAAAAAGAAGAGCAATATTTTAATTGGTTTTTAAAGCCAGACCTTACGGGAAAATGTGATCTGAAACCTTTGGAAGACTAACCACAAATACTGTTTCTTAATACATTACCTTGCCCTTTTTTCCAGTTCCTCTTCTAAGGCTTTCAGTCTTTTCTCTCTCTCCCTGAGCTCTCGGGCATAGCTGAAATCATCATCAATCTCTTCCTGTTTCATCGTAAGTCGACGCTACATAAAGATTCAGAACTCTTAAAAAAATCACTTTCAACACCAACCCAGTCAGATAGATGTACACATTTTAAAGAGCTTTTTAAACTGTATATCATTAGGTGTTTGAGTGATTTCAGAATGTGCAGTAGACCCCTTATTTTATAAACTAAATTGGGGATTGAGGAGGTCATAAAATTGAACATTTCAAAATTACAATATGTACAGTGCATAAACTGCAGTATGGTCCACTGCATTACTGTCTTCTCCTTCAAACCACTGCAAGGTGATTTCCAATGCATTGAAAACATCAGAATGTGAAGGGTTGTTGCCTTTTTCTTCATAGACATCACTATTACGTGATTTTTCCCCTCCCTTCAGAAAAAATGGTTTGTATAATTGGTCGTTCCTAAGATTAGATGTCATAATAATTGATGTTTCACTGTAAAACTGGAATTTCTCTATGTTTTTCTTTAGCAAATAATGTAATTCTCAATGCAATCAAACCACAGAAATACCTCTTGATCTTTTGCAAACTGTTCTTTTAATTTCTGAAACTGTTCCCGTTTCCTTGCATCCAAAGTCATTCTTTCTGATATTTGTTGATCTGTATTTAAATTTAAAATAGTTACTTTACAACATACTGAAAAAAAACAAAAAAAAATTCACTAGATGAAAATACCACTGGAACTTACCATTAATGGCTTTTAGTACTTTACTTGCTGTTTCTCGAGCATGAACAATCAACTCCTGTTTCGCAATCTCCATGCGCAAATCCTAGGAGATAAATATATATAGTTTTATTATGCTTTTCAAACATGAAGAGATAGCGTTGCAATTTAAAGTGTACACTTTCATACACATAGCAATAATGTCCTAAGATAGCTGGCTTCCAGGATTTATAGCCACTTAATAAATGGGACACTTAATTAAGCAAATCACTGAATGTAAAATCTAAGGTTATACTACAATTTATTAACACAATGATCTGTTCACAGTAATGAAGTTCTACTAAAACAATTAGCCATGCAAATGATTAAAAAGACTGACAAATGGAACAATCTGATTAGTTAATAAACAAGTTTGACTCTGATAATTTACTAGTTGGGTCTTGATTACCATTTCCCTAATATATTAAAGCAGATGCAACAAACCCCTGGTGAAATGTCCTCCAAAACTATTTCCAAAAATCATGAAAATGTCAACAATAATGACATGCCAGTTAAACAAAATGAAGAAAGTAATTATGTTAGTCTATTTTTCACCCTAGCAATAGATAGCAATACTAAGCAAGCAGATCACCACAGGAAGACTATAGTCATGAATGTCAGTATTTTATATATACAATAAAATTAGAAATCTGAGCTTTCTTTAAATATGCTAATGATATAAAATTCATTCTTCTTTATTACTCATTTACCTTTTCTTCCTTGCTAATAGAACTGTAACGGGCAATTCTTTCCATTCGACCCACATATACTGCACAGTCTCTCTCAATCTCTTTCAGCTCCTCAAGGGAAAAAATAACAGAAATCCGAGGAACAGGGATATCTGACCAGCATATGTAATGCTACAAATAAGAAATATTATACAATTAAGAAGTGGGGAAAAAAGTCTGTAAATTTTAAATGACTAATGACTAATCAGGCTTTATGATATGCATATATTAACTGTTTGAGATACTTCCTATAAGGAGTCTTGTTCTGAGCCTTTCTGCAGATGTTTAAATATCTATTTTTAATCATATTACATTCTTGAATAGCTTATGGCATTACGTGTCCAATAATGGCCACTGCTTGCCTTTAGGTACAACACGTAAATCCAGATATTAAAATGGAACGGATATAACAGGATCATGTTTCTATACCCTGTGACCGAGACCTGCAAGGTATATAAAGACAAGATCTTAGAAATCAGATGAAAAGATCAAAGTGTAAATTAAAGGGAACTTTAAATTTATTATTTCAATCTTTCTTCCTACGACAAACAGATCTGTTTTGCAAAAAATGTATACAGTGGAACTATTACAGCGTGTCTGAATAAGGGTGCAGCAAAAAAAAGCCAAAATAATGGGGGGAGAAGGTATGATCTCCAGATTGGCTAAACTCAGCTCTTTAGGGAGAGGAGGCCCTCTGCTTTGGTCAGTGTTGTCTGGGTGTTGGAGAACAATAGCTTGGGGGCCTAAAACATTCAGGGTTTACACAAAGGAAAATATGAAACCTAAAGTTGTATAAAGGGTACTTTAAACTTGCTTCTGCACATTCATAGTTTGTCAATTTGCTATCAACATCTGGGTTACACTGGAATACTGAGGTCTTGAATGTAAACAGCTAAATAACATTCTTTAACATCCATCCTTGGCAGGGCCACTTATCAATAAAAGCATAAATTTATTTGCCACAGAGCTAGTCAACATATGCTAAGAATTTGTTTTTGTAGCACAATGTGAAAGAACCAAGCAAGTACTTGCCCTGGGACAACACAATTTCAATAAGTTTATGGTTTTCCCACAAATGTATACATCATTGGCAATATGCTTCAGAAACACAGGGACACAATCTTCTACTTCTTTTGAAATCAAAATATATCCATGGGTCCAGTAATGTTTATCTATAGATCAAAGACAAGAAAGATCAAAGTATATTGTATTTAATAAAGATAACAAGAATGCAAACTGAAAAAACTAAAAGTTCTACATATATGTACTGTACCTCTGAAGCTAAGATAATCCTCATTCACTTGAATCATGAATTCGCCATAAACATCCCGGAATACACCACTGTACACCCAATCATAGATAAACCTAAAAAAATTAAGATTATTATACAACAGAGTTAAGTCCCTCTTTCCTTTTAAAATTATTTATTTTGAACTAATACACACAACAGATGATTTTCTTTGACATATATATCTCAATCTGTATGTATGCACGTGTGTGTGCATGCACACACCACACATATTAAATCAGCAGCAGATTTGTCAAAGTCATGACAAAAAGGTAAATCTAAGTCATGTGGAGGATAAATATAAAAGTTAAGCATGATCACATCAATAGTTAACTCCCCCAAAATATAAAACCTCATTTTGGCATAATAAGCATCTTTTTTTAGAGAATCTTAACTGCAAACATTCAGTTTAAAATCATTCTAATTCAAGTAACAATCTTTTTTTGACTGATCTGGACATATATAAAAACCTTTGCAGTGTCATAATGATAGAATACATTTTATTCATACATTTAAAGAATTTTAATTAGATGCAACTTGTTTAGAAGGAGAAGAGAGGCTATAGAACTCTAGGACACAAATTCAGACAATTTCTCCTTTGAGCTTGAGCAGCTTTTGATATATCTGGAGAAATGTGAACTGTTATTTGGGGATAAAATATTCCTTTTTTTTCATATATTTATGATAACACTCCCAGTATGTACAGAGGAAACAAAATTATCCTAAGTTACAGATATTGAAACTCAGGGTCCCATAGCAGCATCAGCCCAGTCCTTCTTTTCTACTGGTTACTGTAAAGGTCTAATGCCTAGTAAAAAGACTGGTACTGTAAACAGAAAAATGTATCCATAGCAACCGCAATTCAACTTTAACCTAATTAAAAATAAGATCTTTTGTGTATTAATATCCTTATATTTTTATGATTTATAACAGCAACAACAACTTCCAGGTTGTACATTTCCTGGAAGTTAATGAATTAATGACTGGGTTAACATCCTCAAGACAGCCATTAGCTGACAGGAAATGACCTCTACGGCAACCATTATTGCTTAAACAATTGGTGTTCTCATAGTGACTTGTTACAAACACATTTATGCCTCAATCCTGCAAATTTTTATGCATGTACTTATTATTGTCCGAATCCTGCAATAAACACAATGAAGATCCAGCAGTCTGCCAATGTAGAAGTTGCAGAACTGAAGCCATAAGTATTTCAACAGGTTTACGGCTGAGAAGGTCTGAGGCCCAAAATTTGACTGGGAACTGAACATACGGAAAGGGTGGCAGTGGGAGGAGTCTTCAGTTCAGAATATCTTGATGGGTTTCTTTTGTCCTGTTTAATTTTATTATACTTACCACATTATTATTGATTATTTTAAAATTACTATTTAGTTCCTAAAAATGTCTAATATTTTATACACTCCTTAGCATCTCTACAGAAGTAGATAAGTAATTTCCAAAGTTGTGTGGCTACTGATTACATCCAAGGGACTCTATTAAAGATAACATCTGCTTACTCAACAGCTATGCTTATGTTAGTGATATAAAAGGTGTTTTTACTACTTTTGAACTGCTATTAACACTGAAGAGCCAACACAGGTATATGAGAGTGAGGTGGGATCTCTCCTGGTTTTGGGCGTAATTAAATGTCAGCTGCAGGATCTTTATTACTGGTGGTGATGATGTACGAGACGGAAAGAAAACGAACCCTGGTTGAGTCTCAGATCCCTGAGTGAATTTGCTGGGTTGGCTGTTAGGAAAAAAATATCCTTTTATTTGTTTAAAAAAAAAAAAAAGTTTTGATATGGAAGTCACTGGGAAGCAAATATGGAACCACACAATGCCATTTTTGCAGTCACTTTTCAGAGCCGAACCACACCTTAAATCATTAAAAATAATTCACATCCACTCTGAAAATCTTCAAGCTATCTGCCCTATATAAACTAAACCAGCCTAGTTATCCACTTTTTCAGAGTGGTTATTATATTAAAAATGCCCAAATGGAAAATCAGTAGATTATTATTACAGAGCCACTGCTAAGCACAATTATAAAACTAATAGTCTGCAACCCACCTGGTATATGGTTCACAGCTGGTTTTTAACAATGACAGAAGAACTGGGTAATGTTCATTACTACAGTTATTGAGAGCCTCTTTGTACAGGTATGAAAGCAATCTTACTCCCTGAAAAGAAATGATAAACAACTAAATTTCAAAAGTGTAAAATCCATTGTACTATTAGTAAAAAAAAAAAAAAGATTAATATACATATCTTTACATCTATTTATTAGACAGAGACAATTTGGTCATGGCTCAGTCTGGATAAAACTGAAATGATATTGGTGGGATGGGTCAATAACAACCAGAGGAAATGGTAGAGGTGACATATGCCCCTTCAACTGACAAAGCTTTATTGGAATCTTCAGGATTCTTTCTGGATCCTGGATTGCTTTTGGATACCCAGATAGCAACTGTAGCCATAAGTACTTTTCTCATCTTTACTTGAACACGAGATTGTAATCTTACTTACTAGATGTACACTTTACCACCAGTGCCCCTGCATTTACCACCTCTAGATACTGAATTTCTGCAATACTCTATGTACCTCTTTACCATAGAAACTTCAATAGTGTAAACCGTCCACGTACATAGCAGAGTTTCAAGCATAGAGCATATTACACCAGTGCTCAATAGACTGCACTACACTCCAACCAGTTTCCAGGGACAATTCAAGGGGTTGATTTTGAACGCTAATAACAGGCTTTAATTTGGGTCCTGAATATCTTAGGGTCCATGTTTTTTGAGCTTTCCCTCATCCATTGAAATCACCAGGGTAAAGTCCCAATATATAAATATTTGGGGCTGGCATGGCACTCTCATTGGAAAGCCACAGACGCTGAAGTTCACATTTCCTCTTTGGTCTCACTGAGCCTGTATGTTCACCTTCAGGTCTTATCTATTCACTGAAACTTTTCAGAGCGGCAAAGCTAAATAGGAAGGATTGTAGCAGGCTGTCTTCTATTGAGCATTGCTTTTAATGCTTGGATTATTTTGTTAATACAATAGAAAAATATTTAAAATTGTATATGTTATATTATAAAAGTGTTTTTATTGTATACCCACTTACAGAACAGTGACAGACATCCAACATTAATTTAACAATTTATAATCAGTATATGAATTCTCTCTCTCATTTAATGCAACACTTATGTGGAATTTTCAAAAGCATTCAGCACTGATTTAATAGTGTTCTTTGCTAAAACTCCCATTGACTTCATTGGGAGCAGAGGCCAACACTGAGCATTTAAAAAACCTGCTCAATTGTATTTGAAGCTGATATACTGATATTAACACTAAAACAATAGGTTTCCAAAAAAGATCAATAATCACCGTAGGAAATGAAGCACCAGCACCTCTGCTGATCCCCAATACAGTTGTTCCTATGCCACAGAGCTCAGCTAAATACCTAAACAAAAAAATTACATTTATGTAGCATCTTTCAAACAGAAGTATCCCAGGGCATTTACAGTGATCAATGAAATGTGCCACACTTGGGTGGCACGAGGCTATCATTCTGCAGCATCAAACTATAACAGGTGTAGGGAGGGGAGGTGACGAACATTTCTCCAATTCAAGCTATAGAAAATATTTAGATAACCAGACTGTGACTCAAGTTGGAATTTGGCCAGGACTATAGGTCTATTTATACTAAAGTTATCTAGTTTATCAGCCCTTGTATATCCTTACTCACTTCACCTCCTTGTGCCACAATTTCCCCATCTGTAAAAAGTGGGGATATATAATAGGAGCTTATCTGTAAAGTGCTTTGAGATCTACTGATGAAAAAGACTCTGTAAGAGCTACGTAGTATTATTACTACCACCAGACTCTGTAATTTAAAGAATTTTTTCTGTGAAAATATTACGAAATGAACACCAAAGATTGAATAGGAAGGCTTCTCTAGTAGTGTATTTTCAGTGTTCATAAAGAAGGGACTGGATTTCATTTTTTCAGTCCTACAATGCTTTAATATTATAATATTACCTTAACTGTCGTCCTAATTTTCTGAAGAGAAAACTGATTGTTAGAAGGCTTAAAGTGGGAGGTGTTGACAAAACACATGCTCGATAATACTGAAGGTACTTCCTCAATCCACTTGTGAATGCCTAATAGAAGAAAAAACATTGACAACACCCTGCTGTTAAAACTGTTAGTGCTCAGTTTACGTTCACACTGATTACAGTACATCAACATGAAAACACATTTACTGCATTCTAATTTGGGTACGTTATCTTAAAAAAAAAAAAGTCCAGTTTCAATGGTAAGACAAGAACAGATGTGTATTTGAAAGATAATAGGATTTTTTCCTTTTCATGCATATGGACAACACCTATTAACATTAATGTGAATTACATTCTCTTTTTAAATACGCAGTGTATCAAAATTAGGTCATTTTTATTTTCATAGTTGTAATAGGGTATTACAAACAAAGAAGATTTCCTTTGACCTTCTGGGTAAAAAATAATACTTATTTGACAGCAACAAAATTAATTACACCTCACCATGCACAGATTCAGTGCATTGCTTAATCCAAGTCACATTTGGAGAACTAAAATCTACAAGGAAGCAAT